CATTAGTTTATATTATCACATAGATCACCACGCCTCCCCCCCCCGTGCACACCACCACCAGAGGCCCCCTTAAGATAGTCCAGCCAAGATACCCTCATACCAATCTTAAACATGGGGGGGGGCTACAAACATACAAGAAAACCCCTCTCTCACTTACTAGCTGATTTAAAAAACAGTTAAGCATGCAAAATTATAAGAGAGAGAACAGCACTGTGAGGTCAGCACCATGCACCCAGCACAACAGACCACGAGAGGTACTGTGGAAAAAAAAAGGCAAGGAAGCAGCAAGCTAGCCATGCAGCGACTACCTGGCACACAGAAACAAACATCTTGTAAAGCAGTGGTTCCCAACATTTTTTGAATCACAGGCTCCTCTTTTTATAAAAGCTAAGCAATCTGCAATCTCCCCCACATTTGCATAAAAAGGGATTTTAATGGTGTAAAAACATATTTAAAATAGATATTTTAGAATATAATTCTAATTTAATATGTTAATATTAATGTAATAATGCATAATTATGGGAGCGAGCTGTAAATCTGTCTCTACCTGATAAAATTTGAGATGGAAAAAAATTGTCAATAGACTTTTGAGTTTAATTTACTTTTTTGAATGTGGAAACATCCCTCCCTTCATATTTAAGTCAGAAAATATATTTCAGTCCAAAATGCTAAAGTAGAAAAGGTATAATAAAAATATCAAATTGTTTAAATTACATTCAAATACTACGGGGACCTATAGCCTAAAAAGGCACAATCAAGCAGGAGAGAATGTATGTCTAAAATGCCAGTGTTCTTAAAAGTAAGAATATATGAAAGAAAACACATTTCTTAGCCTTTCAGCATATTATAATGACATACAGAGAACATTATTAAATAATATTCTCTTCCAGCCAAGCCAGCCATATGCCAATCCCATGATGTTCATTTCCAGAAGCCTGCTGCTCCACTGCCACATGCTTATTGATGGCTGGTGCCCAGTATCTGTGTTGCTGGTATCCAGTGTATGGTTTGGCATGTCTCTTGCTTCCCTATATTTATATTTCTCTCAGTTACTTACATTTCTCTTCAACTGCCAAACAACTGAATTTTGCCAGTTTAGTAAGTGACTGATCTCTGTAAATGACCACAATATTTTTAATATAAATAACTATTGCTTTTACCAGGGTGACGAAATATGGCTTATAAAATACGAGACTAGCAAGTTGCCACTATATAATAGTGTTTATTTTGATTAACTGGGTCTGGGCACCTGCGGGAATAGTAAGTTACCTGGGTAATATTTAATGCGTAGACAACATGCCATGAGCATAAACTGCTGGTGAACTAATTTGGTGAGGTACCAATTTACTCTGTCCACCCCTTAGGACTCCAGAAGGTTTTTTTTTCCTCTTTCCCCTTTGTTTTTGTTTTCTTGCAAATTATTTACCTCCACATTCCTGTTAGGTATGAAAGAGGCTCTTTTGCAAGGCAAAGTTATTTCAGATGGATCTTGCTTTCAGAGTGGGCTGGAAAACTGGCTGATTGCCCTGTAGTGACTTTTAGTAAACCGTTATTCAAACTGCATTTCAAAAGCACAATGTACATGTTCATGGCTGTATTTGCTACAGTCGCTTAATTGTTTTAACAATTTATACATTCAAAATCTCAAACCTTGACAGGAGGGCACCAGGAGCCCAGCACATAGTAATCCTACAAGGAACAACTGAAGGAAAAGCTCTCATAATTTGGTTCCAGGCCTTTTTTCAGATTCAATACTCCCTCTCCTCCCCCAAAATTCTAATCAGGTTCTGACAGCCTTCATGGTGCTGTGGGAGGAAAATATTCTCAGGAATTTGACAGACACAGAGTGAAATGGCACCAAAGGTTACACAAAAGAGGGAACAAAAAAGAAACATGAAACTTTTGTGACTTCTCTTTCATAAACACAAATAATTCATGGTTATAGATTCTCTTTTGGCAACTGCTGCTTTGGTGTTTTGGGTCTTTTGTTAGGTACAAAAGATCCATCCTTAAAATTAATATGCAGTGGTCAAGTTAGTTCTTTATGCATTGTATGTATGACATTGTTTTGGTCTGTTAAATGCTTAGATCTGCTTCAGTGAAATGTTCCAAAAATGTTCTGTCTTAGTGACCTGAGCACATTTCCCTGTGAATGAACAGAAGGATATATAGAATTTCTTGATCTGGATTTATGTGTATTTCTCCCCAGAAAACTGACTTTCCTGTTCCCTGTATTTCATATGCTTAGGGCAGGGGTAATTGGCTTGATCCGTTTGCTTCCAAAGCCCATTCAATAGCTATGGAAGAAATTTCTTGAATATTAAAACTGTTTATTTGGTCAAAATATACAGTGCTTCAAGAAACCTGGCATAAACTCAGGATCCTTCTTACGATCCATCCAAAAGCAATGCATTTAAATAGCATTCTTAACAACAGTCAAGTAATATAGACCCATTAAACCTCAGGTTGCCCTCCATAGGGTGAACTGGGACATGAAACTTATAGATGGTCAAAGTCTCTGAGGAACATGTGCATAGATTTGATATATCATGCCCTGTATTAATTTTGCAGTGGCAAGATGTGGTTTTTCCTAAAGGTTACAAGAGAAACATACAGATGAATTGTAGTTACAGCTCCAAGCCAACAGGGATCAAGTGACACCTGTTTCTGTGTACCTCACAAGGGGGAAAAAGGAAAAAGGGGAAAATATACAGAGTATTGGTTGTTGTAGGTTTTTCGGGCTGTTTGGCCGTGTTCTGGAGGAACATAGTAGGTGTGCTCTTTCGCTTCGGAGTGTTTCCAGTCTCCGGGTCTATCTGACCGTTTCCTCCCTGTAGAGGCGTTCAATGTATTCTTGAAGGCTTTCACGGCTGGGAACCATTGGATCCTGGCCGAGAAAGCCTTTGAGAATACATACAGAGCATTCATGAAAGTATTAAGTATATGGTTCAGTAGGGGCAACATCCCATGGGCACATTTAACTAAATGCCTTAGAGATGTTGAAAATGCCTTAGAGATGTTGAAAGATTGCAGATACTGTCATCGGATGTTCTGGTAAACTGAAAGTTTGTTCTTCTTCCTATACATCCTTGAAGGAGTCTTATGATGCAGTGGTTAAACTGCTATAAGACAGTGCTCATGACCTGGGTACGATCCCAATTAGCTCTGGTAGCTGGCCCAGAGCTGACTCAGCCTTCTTTCATTCCGAGGTCAGTAAATTGAGTATCTGGATCCGGGGGGGGGACACGGTGTACCCTGCATAATTAAATTGTAAACTGTCAAAAAAGTGCTTTCGATAATATGGGATGATATATAAGCAGCACACTTTGCTTTGCTTGTGTGGTTTGAGGCCTTGATTCCCCACAAGTGGTGAGGATTTAGAGATTCTGTTTTAATGATAACATCTCCAATGCGGCCCAAGCTTTCTTAAAAAAACTGGGAAGAACTGGTGCCTGGAAGAGTCATGCCTCAGTGGTACCTGTTCGATTAACATTATCCTGACCAGAGGAAGAGGGCAAAATCAGAGGCCCCTTGCAGGGGAAGGTCCTCTGGCCTTCACCCGATCAGATCAGACAAAGATAGAGATGTGTCTTTTAGATGTGGGGAACTGGTTTGCTGATTGTGCGATACTGCAGTTGTTAGCACACTTTCCGTAGATCAAGCAGTGTGCCCCGATAAAATTTAAATGCTGGTGATACGTTCAGAACTTGAAATCCAAAGAGGGGAAGATTGGACTCATAAATCAAAACCAAGCTCTCTTGTAAACCGGTAACAGGCACTTGCTTGAGTAAATAATTTTTTTTTTTGGCTCACAAACAGAAACATTAAAAAGAGCAGGGAGAAGAATGAGGGAAGCTGAGAAGGCTGTATTTTCAGAACCTCAGGGCCAAACAACATGCAACATAAGCGTTCCATGACTGCATTTCCTGGTATCCTTTTCTTCTTTGGCTTAAAAATAGGCATGGGATCAATTAGGATCAGGACTTTGTTGCTAAGGGCAAGAAAGGTTTTTAACTCTTTCCCCATGCTGTGATCTCAGTCCAGTACTTCTCTCCCTGCATACCTCATATTAAGCTGTGATTAATATCAGTGTCAGCAGGTGGTGATTCACAGTGCAGAAGGAATTAATTCATCTCTCGGCACGGCAGCCCTTGTTCAAATTGTCTCTCCTTTTGCTCCCAGTGGATTTTTTTAAAGCCAGTGAGAGCTAGAGGTTAAGAGTTGGACTGGAGGCTTTTTAGGAGGTCTGGGCTCATGTTTCCACATGTCCAGGAAACCCGTGGTTGTAAAAATGAAGTTGTGGCGGGGGAGTGGTGGGGGAGGAGGAGCTGTGGGTGCTGCCTTGAGCTCATTGTAGGAAAGGCAAGGTATATATACCACAAACAAATAATGTTTCATCCAAAGGAAAACTTGGTGTGGTATATGATCATACACCTTACGTCACACATAATTTGGCTTCAGTTCCTGAGAGAAAGGCACAGAATACAGCTAGTTATGTGGTTATTTGAAATTGCTTCCAGTAACAGCATGATCCACACAACTCCTAGTGTGAAAATGGATACAATAGCCAGAAACTGTAATTTCTGCCAACCTCCACGTAGTAGCCACGTGTCTGTACTGTACAACACCATAGACAGACCCCTAGTTTCACAGCACCTTATTTAAGTAAATAAGGTTATATCATTGGAGTTCTTTAGTGGCTCAGAACGTCTAATCTTGTTTTCCTGAGGGCCTAAGTGACATTCCGTGTTTACCACAGGTCTTAGCTATTGCTACATTTAGTCAAGAATGTAGGTCTCTTTCTATAGGAAGAATCTGGGGGCTTGGAGAGTTGATTAAAAGCAAGCAAGACGATTCGTTAGTATTTTGTTGCATGATTCTCCAGGAAATGTTAAATGTTGCTCCCATGCTATGACGGTGTAGTTATTGTATTCCATTACTCATTCTGAAGTTCTGTATATCCTAATATAACTTCCATATTTTTGTGCTTGTTCACACAGGAACTACCTCTTCAGACTTAGTCTACACAACATTTCTCTAATTCAGGTATGTTCACATCTTCATGCAAAATATATTCTGACTGCAGTTTATGTAAATACTGTAGTTTTTAGTTGTACAGTATTTTTTAACCCTACCAGTAAATAGCTGTGTTGTGGTAGTAGAAAGAAATAGATTGTTTAGGAGGCTGTAGCTTGAAATGTGGCTTTCAAGGTCATATATTCCACAAACTCTTCTCAAAAAATTAGCCTTTCTGCTTCACTTCATGGTGCTTTTTCAGCACATTCCTCAGCATAAGACTGAGCATTTGCTAAGAAGATAAAGCTGGGAAGTGCTTTACGGGGAATGTTCTTGTATTTCTCTAGTATGACTCTTTATCCTTTGTGTATTGAATGGAGGCGGGAGGGACAAGTGCCAGAAAAGGGCATTGCATTAGAAGCAGAGAGAATCCTGTGACAGATAGCCTGTGCAAGCTTAACTGAAACAATGCAAAGAAATCCTATGCTTTCACTAATGCAGACGTCAGCAGCTTCCAGAGAAGCCTTTTGCCATTCTCTTCTCTCAGTGTTCCTGAGTTTTTGTTGGCCTTGTGTAAGCAGAAAATGCTGAGGAACTGAATTTTGTTTAATTCTTTAGTGACAGCATGATAAGATCTGAAGCCCCATCAGAAAGGAATCAGTTTGAAGATATGTGACATTTTCATCCTGATGAGCTTGCTTAATAATTAAAAGTGTAACAAGAAATGCAGTCTTGTTAGTAAAGTATTTCCGGGTACAGCGTTGAATTAGATTTTAAGGTTGTCTTGGTGCTGGGTTTAACAAAGTGTTATACAGTCATGTGAAAAAGAAAGTACAGCCTCTTTGAATTGTATGGTTTTACGTATCAGGACATAATAGAAATCATCTGGTCCTTAAGAGGTCTGAAAATTAGGTAAATACAACCTGAGGCCGTGGTCACACCAGCAAAATGACCCCCTGTTGTCACACGACTTTTAATTGGGTTCCTGTCGTGCTTTGAGTTCACGTGGCATTTATTCCAGGATGTGCGTCCCAGTGTGTTTTTGGGTTACCGACTAATTTCCTTCCAGTTCAATAAGTGCCAAGAACTTCTTGTTGAGACCATTTAATAGAAGTTAACCAACACATCAACAGAAATGCCACAGGAAAAAATAATTTAAAAAGCCATTTTAAAAGGACATGCACAGTGACAGTAGTCAAAAAAAGCAGAGATATGGGCAGCAACACAACTTTTTTTAAAGAACCACAGCAAAAATGTAGAAGCCTCTGGATGAGCAAGAAATGATTTGCAGTTAGTGCGCTTGCTGAGTAAATGATTTGCTAATGGTTGTGTATCGTGTGACTTCAAATTTTAATAGCAAAATCAAAGGGGAAGAACTGGAAAACCTTTTGTTAGTGTGAGCATGGCATCAGATGAACATGACATATTACACCATTAATTTTGTTAAATAAATCACAACACAGTGTAATATGTTCTTTGTTGTGGTTCCTCTGAGGTTATAGTTACCTAATTTTCAGACCTGCTAATTTTCAGATTATTTTTATTATGTCCTGATACTATAGAATTCAAAGAGAGAGTGCTTTCTCTTTCACAGGACTGTAGACAAATCAAAATAACATTTGATTCAGGCTCATGTTTAGTGTGCTTTACATTGGTATGATACTGCAGTATGTGTACATGGCATAGTACTAATGAATAAACAGTTGAAAAGATGAACTTTAGCATAGCTGGTCAAACACGTTATTCCTGCAACCAAAATGGTGGAATAGTTTTCACAAGAATCCACAAAATCAGTATCACAACTGGGATTTAAATGTTAAAAACAGGATAGAGTCCCTATTCCCATCCTCCTCTTCTTCTCATAGAGTGTAGTTGTATCTTGTGGTCTGCAAAACATGGCAGCAGGATTAAATTGGATTTTTCAAAACAATGTTGCCTGTAAATGCAGTAGCATTTGTAATTTATTTGACTGTTAAGATAATATATACAGTGTTCATCTTTTTCATGGCAGCGATCCGCAACCTAGGCAGGACTGGTCCACGGACACAGATCTCCTGCCACCCCACGAGCACGCCCTGTGTATGTGTGGAAGTGCAACTTCCCCCCCCGCGATGCTACACGCCCCTGTGCGTGTGCACAAGCGTGCCACGCCCCCCCAAAACCGGTCCGCAGTTAGGAAAAGGTTGTGGACCACTGATGTAGAGGACAGGTAAACTTCTTAGATGGAAGCGTCTGCAGTGTCCATGTTGGTCTCAAGCTCTTATTTAGCTAGCAATTTTGAATTTATGGCTCACCACTTAAAACAGAGGACAGTCACAAACAATCTGCCCCTCCTCTCCTTCTCCCTTTCTGCCTTTTTGAACTGTGGGATATCGTCTTGTGTCTATTAAAAGGTAAAGGTTCCCCTTGACAATTTTTGTCCAGTCGTGTTCGACTCTAGGGGGCGGTGCTCATCCCCGTTTCCAAGCCATAGAGCCAGCGTTTGTCCGAAGACAATCTTCCGTGGTCACATGGCCAGTGCGACTTAGACACGGAACGCTGTTACCTTCCCACCGAAGTGGTCCCTATTTATCTACTTGCATTTGCATGCTTTCAAACCGCTAGGTTGGCGGGAGCTGGGACAAGTGTCGGGAGCTCACTCCGTCGCGTGGATTCGATCTTACGACTGCTTGGTCTTCTGACCCTGCAGCACCGGCTTCTGCGGGTTAGCCCACAGCGCCACCACGTCCCTTGTGTCTATTACCATTCACAATTTGACAAGAAACAAGGGGAAATTCCCAGAAGTTGACTCCTTTTTTAATCAATTGTCTGGGCTAATTTTTAAAGTGTGAATGGTTGAAAGTTGCTGAATGTTGCTCTGCCAGCAATAGGCGAGTCGTCCGAAGCCAGTTCGTGATGGGGCCAAAGAAAGGTAGCCAGGTAAATGTGTAATACGTTCATTAGTTGGACAGGGCTTTAGAGGAAATGGAAAATCAGTATTTGTCCATTCAGTGTACAACCTAAAGAGTCAGTCAGAGGCAGAGGGTTTGGGCTTGGGGGGAATTGAGTTAAATGCTGTACCTTCCTTTGCCTAAACTGTGCTTCTTGTTGATTTCAAAGAGTTAGTTGTGGGGTGTACACTCCAGAGTAATTGACAGTTATATCCCTAATAACCCACAGAGGATGAATAGGGTCTTACTGAGTCTTAATAATTCACACTGCTTCAATAGATGTCGTTTAATCCTTGCTAGTGCTTTCTTCTGAAATCCAAGTTACTGCTCTGCTTCTGTTCCTTGTGGATTGCTATTGCAGAAACTGAAACTATTTTTCTTGCATCTTGTTTGTTTCTTGTTTGAACTGTAGTTCTCTCTGAGAAAGCACACTGAATTCCAGTAATGTCAGTGGACAGCTGGTACGTGTTTCTGTAGAAAGCACAATGGCTTGCTTTGTTAAAGCTAATACTGTATATATGTGGCGGAATTTGTCGTGAAAGTAGCAAATCCCCGGCTAGGGCATAGTGAACAGAATAACAGCTCAGGAATTAATTTACTTTGAAAGAACCTTTAGGGCCACCTTTGATGTTCAGTTTTTAATTTATGTAAACTCTTTCATCAAGACATTTAGAAATGAATAGCGAGGATAAGAAAAGGATTTATAGCATTGTTTGATTAGCGATTAGATAGAGCTATTAGACCCCTATACCATTGGTATTGTAGACCTGTTTTCTAGGGATTTGGAAGGTGTAGGTGTGGTCTTTTCCTCACACGACAAGAGACATTTCTGTATCAGTGAATTCCGCACATAACACTGAAAAGGCCATTCAGCTTTTGCTAACAGCCATTTGTTAAAGCTTTCAATTTAAATGAATTACATTTTATATTAAAAAAGACTTAAAATTATAGCTTGATCAAAAAGAATGTCATGGCACTCTCTACAAGATTTTGACTTTTTTTTTTGCACTTCAAAGACCCTCATTTTCACTGGCAGTCCAATGTGCGCTAAGTGGTTAGAGTGGTTAGACTAGAACAGAAGATGTGGATTCAGATCCACTCTCAGCTGCCAAAACTGACAGGCGAGTGGGATTGTTAAACTACTGATTGAAGATCTCACATACCATGAAAATCCAGTTGAGGTTGATGTTAAATCGGAAGCAACTTAATGGCACAAAGCTGCGACAACAATATTTTAAGTGTTCTGCTGCTGCCTGCCAAGATTTGATGTATTTTCTTGCTGTTCTGAAATAAAGAGATTTAAAGGGGAATAAAATGTTCTTAAATATTCACCTGCCAAAGGAATATTTTGAACTACAGCCATGAGTTACCAGAAATAGAGCTGAAGCTAGGCGTAAGTAATTCCATTTTGATTTCAGTTGTACTCCCTCGCCTTTAATCAGAAAAAGAACATTGCTTGCTATTTAGCATATGATAGTCATTTATCATACTCACTGTATTAGTCACCATTCCCCTCCCCCAGGGAAAAATTCTCATTCTGTAGAAAAAAAGGAATTGTGGTGTTTGACATAGAATGTTATTTTCCTTTGATCACTAGTCAGCATGGAAGGTGCTGTGGACTTTCTCAGTGATCTAGTTAAAATTTTATGGTATGGATATTAACTTTTTATGTGAGGTGCTACTGAAAAACATTGTTATATTTCTCTTTCTATAAGGCTGTTGAGTGGTATATTTCCCTTTCTTCCTCTGAAGCCTTGATCCATTGCCTGATGAAATCAAAGGAAGTTTGTTCAGCATAGCAGAGCTTTTACCTTTAAATTACCCTTTTTCTTTTATTTAAGGCTGGTGGGATGTGTATATCAGTAGTGTACCTAACATGAAAACTAAGCTGTAATGCACATTTCCAGCACATCCTGCTGGCTGTGTTGTAACTGGTATTTTAAAGGGTTAAACTCTAATCCTCAGCATTCACATAGAGGCCTAGAAAGGGGCTTTTTACAGTTGACTGCATAATTAAGAGATTAAATGGGAAAATGTTGCTTTTAAAAAACAAAATCCCCATGGCATGTTTTAAATAGTAAATTATGGCTGAACTGACTG